AAAAGAGAGAGAATGCTAGGAGTCCGTGGATTTCGGGAAGGTTTTCATCCGCGGCGACGTTGCAGAGGTTGTGGACGCGAGTGGCCAGGTTGACACCGAATTTGGAAGTGAAGGTCTTGGTCCCCCGAGCGCGGTTTCGAAATCTAGTTGTTCTCGGTTGACGTTGTTGAGTGTGTGTCTTGGATGCCGGCTACTCCCGCGTTGAAAGTGTTGTTTGTTAGTCCAGGTCCCGTGGCGCCCAGGGCGGTGAGCAGTGGTCGAGTGACGAGATTGATGCATCGCTGAAGGTGCCCTCCATGGGGGAAAAAAAAAAAACCCAAAGTTGTTGGGGCCCAAAAAAAGGTAGATGCGAAATGTTCTCCTCGGTGATGCGTAGGAGGGAGCCGCCAGGATCGCTGGTGCAAACAGCGCGAAACGATTGGACGAGAGGGATAATGTCGTTCTGTCGGGCTGCATAAGCATGCGTGATTTCCGGGCCTAGGATAAGGTTTCGGGACTGGGTGATAGAGTATCGCCCGGTAGGCACTTGCGTGAGGACTCGTGAGGTCAGGTAGTGCGGTATGGGCATGAGGCGACGGGAACGGTAGGAGTCCACATCTGCCTCGCCGTTCCCATGGGGAGAGCCCGAAGTGAAGGTTCGGTGGAATCGGTCATCCAGCAACATGCTGCTGCGGCCATCAAGATACGCCAAGGTCTTGCAACGAGTGTCTGCGACGCGTTGGAAGCTGTCGTCTCGGAAGTGATCACAGGGGCAGATGGTTGGAGGTCGTTTCCAGTGAGTACAACGGAAAGATTGTCGTACTGAGAGACACGTTCGAAGTAGCTGGGTAGGTGAACAGGGAGTGTCCGACGTGGATGTAGTCTTCATCACCGTCACAGACGAACGCGATGAGGAGGGGTGACCGCGTAACGGCAGCACACAGTGTGGCTGCGACGCCCGACTGTCAGTGTTAGCATTGGACCAACCAGGTTGAGAAGAGCGTTGTATCAAACTCATGAACGTCCCAGTGGTTGCCGCGTCGACGAGAGTAGAGAATAAAGCGTTGGCCATGGCGAGGATTTGAAGAGATTTAGACCTGATGCCGACGCAAGAGTTAATTATTCTAGTTCTAGCTTGCAGCTCGCTGAAGAAGAATTGTGAGCAGAGAAGGAGACAACCTTCTTGCGATCGACTGTTCAATGGCTGAAGGAGAGAGTTGGACCGGTCTTGCGTGTTGTGTTCATTCAAGGTTGCTATTTGTGAGCGGTCTTCGTGGGGTGTTATTGCCTTAGAGTGGGTCTTGCGAAAAGGCAGTGGCAATCGACATGCATGTGGGGTATCCATTTCAGGAACGCAGGTGATGACCTGTGGAGTGTAGAGATGTACTTGTTGTGTGTGAGCGAAGTGTGGGATAGATTCGTATTTTGTGAGATGGTACCAGTCTGGCAAATCGAGTCATTCATCGGAGAACCCGTGAGGGTTCAGGTTTCCACGCCGGTCAGCGTGGATGGATAGGGATCGGGATCGTTTGTCTTCTTTGGCGTGCGGCTGCTCGACAAAGAGCTGTCGCAAGCATCAGAGCGCGGCGTGGAATGTGGGTCGTTTTCGACAGGTTGGTCGACGTGCGTCGACTGCTCCGATGGCTGTCCAGATCTGTCCGATGACATCGAGTCATGCATGACACCCGACAAAGCCCATCAACCTCATTTTTTGCAGTCAACACAGAACACAAAACACATTCCTAACTCCACATTACCATTTTACAGAGAAGACTTGCACCATGGGAATTACTCGACCTATTAACCGCTTCACGTTGTTGACGGCCAATGGCGAAAGAGCTCTCCAACGTACCAACAACCAGCGGAGAGGTTTCAACAGTCTACCATGGAGTTCCGACGAAGCCATTGACAGTCTTGTTGTGCGCCTTCCTGAGCTTTCCGAAGAGGAGTTCCATGCACTCACCAACGGCATGTCGCAAGAGCAAGAAGAAGATGATGAACTGCTGGAAATGATTCAACAGAGATCCCAGCAACTCAATGATGAGTTTAAATTCGAAGTTGCCGAGTCCCTTGGTGGTATTCGGTCGAGGAAGGAAGAGATGTCCAAGTTTCTCTCTCGTCTGCCAAAAACCCGCCAACTGAGAGCACTCGAGATCGCAATAGAGACACTGGAACCAGATGATCAGCACCTTCGCTCTCTCAAGAACCCCACGCAACAGTGGAAACAAGATCTTAAGGAACACAGATGCAAGCTTGAGAGACTCGAAGAGTTCAATCTCCATGAGCATTATCCAGAGGGGATTGCGCGACATGGTGATGTGATTGTGGAAGCACTGGAGATCCTTGAACGGGCACACGATATCATGCGGTTTTCATTATTTGATGGAGACCGTCCCTACAACCAACAGCACCCAAAAGAGCAAAAGGAAGCTCCGCTGGATGATGATTTCTTTGCCTCCCTCTAACTAAACGATAAGCGACTTGCACAACCCCAAAAGCTCAGAAGGCTATCGGTATGCTACTAGAAATCACGACAAATCAAATAACTATTATAGATCAGAACCCCACAACCAAAATGCCACTCACTTTCTTGATCTGTCTTCGTCGTAGTCTGTTGAAAGCAGTCACTTAGATTCTTGGATGCTAGGGCTGTCTTTCTCGCTATCTTTCTATTTGTCTATGTGGAATGCCTTCAAGAATGCGGAATGCCCCATAAGGCATGCCATTCTCCGACAGAGCGGGAAGCATCCTTTCGGGTGGCCTCTTCGGCCCGATCCACGTAACGCGTATCAGCCCCTCCAGACTGCTTAGAGGCAAAGTAGAGCTCGGCAATTGTGGGGCGCATAGCGTCATTCGAGTTGGGATTTGACATCAGTTCCCGAATGACCCTCAGGACTTCTGGTATCGTCTTGGCTGGCGACCAACTGTCCCTGAGAATGTCAAGACAAAGACCCCCGCTGCTGTCGACGTTGCAATGGAAGATTGGCGTTTCGAAGCGAACTTTGGGCGGCCCGAAGGGATAGTTAGCCGGTAAGCTAATGTCGAGCAGAAAGACACCACCCTCGAACGGCGTCCCACGGGGGCCCTCGATCAATGTTTTCATCTCAGACAACTGCGAAGAAGATACAGACGTGAAAATGAGCGAAATCAATAAAGAACAGACACGCGCATGGCTTATCGTGATGCGCTGGGCTTACCAGAACGTTGTTTTCATTGGGGTACAAATGGATCCCTTCGTCGTTGGCAGCCGCAAAGTCAGCCAGCTCTTTGAACATACGGGCCCTTCGGCCCTTCACACCCGGAGGACGGACAATGGAGGAGCAAGGGACAAATTTTTGGGTCTCCAAGACCTTCGTCGTGGGGCATGTGGCTATGGTCGAAGCATAGCGGGCCTGAGTGATCTTTTGTGTTTTGATCGAGTCAAAGTCCACAGGGGCAGCTTGTTTGCGCTCCGGCTTTTCAGCCCCGCCTCGGCGCGACCGGATGCTGACCACGGCTTCTGCTTCCATGAGCTCGAAGCCATCCGACAACGAGTGAATTTGGAAGCAGCTGCCACCAGAGGCAGCCACAATCTTGCGCAGATTATCGTCGCAGGAGTCTCCAACGAGGATTGCATCGACAACGGCGCCAATCTCTTGCACATCTTTCAACGCTTCTTGGGGGCTGATCCCAGCGTTGTTTTGGCCGTCTGTCAAAAGGAGAACACGGAGGTCGGTCTTTTCGTTGTCGGCCGCAAAGGGTTTAAGCATGCGGCAACTCTGCTGAATGGCCGAGTAGATTGCTGTGCTTCCGCGTTGTTTCATATCATCCACAACCGCATCAAACCTGTCCGGATCGCTGGTTGGCTGCAGCATCTCTTCAATTTGTTTGTCGAACTGGATCAGGCCCACCTTGTGATAAGATTCCAACGTCTCGGTTCGATCGCGGAACGCGTAAAACACTTGTTTGACGGCATCCATCCTTGAGCGATTGAGCAACGTCTTCTCTGCATTAGCCCCAAAGGCTTTGGCTTCATCAAAACCACAACCCATCGAGCCAGACCGATCAATGGCCACCACCACGCACTCGTCAAGGGTGGGTTGCTTGTTGTCGTTTGTGTCCGCTGCTTCCACGACTGGTGCAGAATCATTTTTCTCGGCATCTTTTGCAGCCAAAGGTTTTTGAACAAGGGCGAGGATGGCATTGGAGAGCTTCTTGCAGGGGATCAGCTTGATTTTTGCTTCTTTTGCCACTTCTTTCAACAATGCCGTGTCTTCCAACAGCAACAAATCCACCATCGAAGAGATTCCCGCGACTTCCACTACATGCTTCGACTCTTCTTCGGAGAGGCCGGCCGCCACCAGATATTCGACAGGTGTTGTAGCGTCGATTGACGATACAATCGACGCGTCGTCCCAGGTGTCATCTACCGTCATGCCTTTTCTTGTCTGTGGGAGCTTTCGGTGTCGTTGCTATCTGTTTTTCAGGTTGTGACACCCTTTGCTGAAACGGTGCAAAAGGATCGAGGCGAAATTGGTGCACCACGTTTGAGCATGGTTTCGCAGGGTATCCACGACAAAGATTTGCCTCGTTCTCACGATCGATCTACGACACACCATCATGTTCGCTTTCTTTGGGCTTTCTTTGGCTTGCTCGGGAGGGTGCGGCTTCTTTTTGCCTGCTACGACTGTACTGTATCTCACTTCGGTACGGTGTACCAGTACCGCTACCTACATAGGGGCAACATGAGCCACATGTCGATAACTGATAACAGAGTGCTACTATAGATAGCTAAGAATAGAGCGATTGGTTGCTAATGGTACAAGTCTGTGCATTGTGACGGAACACGGTTCTGGGCACTTCGTTGGCTACATGATAGTTTCATCTGATGTCCTCCAAGGCCACGCTCCAACTCGGGTATTATTCTTGCTTTGTTCTTTGGCCTTCACCATCGGAGCAGTCGTTTACTGATTTCCATCGGACACGGCTCGAACTGGCAGTCGTTGGATGGATCTCTAACAACTGTAGAGTTGTCACTGCAGATCAACACGTCCAAGGGGCAGACAACACAATCTCCAAAATCACAATTTGGGGGGACTCTTCCGACGAACGATCCATCTGGGCACTCCTGAACGTCAAGGGTGCAGACGAGCTCGTCGGGGCATACATCAAACTCGCAGTCAAGTTCCGGAACTCTGCTGACTAGTGTGGTATTATCGCTGCAAATCTTGACTTCGGTTGTGCACTCGGTTAGGGTCTCTGGACAAGGGAAGAATGAGCATCCATTGGCTGGATCACGACCAACAGATGCACCCCCTCGACATAAAAAGACATCTTGAGTACAGAAGGCTTGCTCTGGTTTTTGTTGACACAGGTAGAACTCGCAATTGTTGCCTGGATCACGGCCTACAAAGTCCCCATTTGGGCACTCCTTGACATCTTGCGTACAAACACCAGTGGGACAGGGAGCAAAGTTGCAATCCGGGGGGATTCGGCGAACAATGCTACCATCTTCGCACTCTATAACTTCAAACGGACAGAAGCCGTCAGATTGTGGAGGTTCTACGATCAGACATGGTTCAAATTGGCAATCAGGCCCCATTCTTCCGACACTGCTACCATCTGGACATACCCGTAGCTCGAGGGTACATGGGACTGGTTGATTTTGACACGGGTAGTATTCACAATTGTTGCCTGGATCACGGCCTACAAAGTCCCCATTTGGGCACTCCTTGACATCTTGCGTACAAACACCAGTGGGACAGGGAGCAAAGTCGCAATCCGGTGGGACACGGCGAACAATGCTACCGTCTTCGCACTCTATAACTTCAAACGGGCAGAATCCGTCGGATTGTGGTGGTTCTACGGTCGGACATGGTTCAAATTGGCAATCAGGCCCCGTTCTTCCAACACTGCTACCATCTGGACATACCCGTAGCTCGAGGGTACATGGGACTGGTTGAGCGCCCAATGTCGGTGTGCTCATAAGGCCATCATCCAGTGCACGATTCCAAAAGGCTTCATCTTCTTTTTCGAGCTGTTGTCTGTGTTGTTGTTTTGCTTTTCTGCCTTTTCGTAGATGCCCTGTAGTTGGCAGTACAGCTGTCAACAGAAGAAAGAGGCTGGTCCAAAATCTTCTTGTCATTATTCCTTACATGTACAGCTCGCAATGGCACTTTGTCGCTTTGTTTTGGATGAGACCTTCGCACAGCTAGCTACCAGTGGTAGATAATAGTTACTAGAACATGCGTTTTAGCTGAGTGGCAAATGGTCGGAAGTTTCGAAATCAGTGGAAATCCTGAGAAGCCGAACTGCAAAACGGATGCCGTGCCGTGGGCTACTACCAAAGCCAGAGCACTTGACGGAGTTGCAGCATGCTCGCTCAATTTTCCCCCCTGGTTTTGTTTTGGCGACATTTTGTGAGGTGAGGAAAGAACGCGTGCTGCGCTCTTGTGAGTGAAACGGTACGGCACCAAAGAAAGATACTATCCACGTCTCAGCGTCAAAACCCTTGGGCTTCTCAAGCATGCTCTCAGGCAACTACGGTACCGGTAGATCTAACTGAACCGGAAAGATACCGATCTCTACGTACCGCACGCTACTTGAAGACACGATGACATTATTCTCCTTGGAGTTCCCTTTGACAATCGGTTTGAACATTTCACACCACGGGATGTTGTCAGTCAAGTGCTGAAACCCCCACTTGGGATTCTCAAAGCAGAAAGCAAGCTCCGGGGCCATCAATAGCAGTTCGTTTTCGGCACCAGAACTCCAGCCTGAAGGCTTGTCTCTGTCAATCCCAGTAAATTATTTAGAATACTCATTTTTGCTGCAATTGATAAAAAGCAGTGGTACCTATTATCCATGTCTGGCACGCTTTTGCTCGTAGCGCTCTAGAGTCCGCCTAGTAGATTTGATGCATGAATTGGAATCCCCCCCCCCCCCCCAGCAATCATCATGGGCCAGCTCATGGGCCCTTGTTTGAATTCCCGACAGGCAGGATGGATGGAACTGTACATGCAAGCTGCAGCTGTAAGTAGTGCAGTCAAACTTACGTTGGGAACTCAATCTCGAACAGAAGCCTTTTCCTGAAATTTGCTTGATCCTTCTTCTGGTCACAAAATTTCGCACATCGCATCTTCCGAAACAAAAACTCGAATCAGCACCATCAAAACAACTTGAAAGCCAACCATGAAATTAGCTTCCCTCGCCACCGTTATCTTCTCGGCTCGTGCGGGCACCGCCACTGACATCCGAGTGGATATCTCGTCGTCGGAAAAACGCAAACTAACCCAGAGCAGGAGCGACGCCAGTCACCACAAAATGAAGGATCCCCGCGCCTTGATCTCTTCGATCAACTGTAGTCCTGATTCTGTGGCTGAGTGGATTGACGAAGAAGTACAGAGAAAGGGGTGCGACATCTTCCTTGAGCCATATCAGGAGGCTTGCGGAAAATACGAGGACTACAACAGCACCTTCGAGTGCCAGTTCCTCAGTGCTTTCATGCCTCCTTCTGGAGCGGCGGCACTTGTTGCGTCCAATGAGCTAGAGGAGTGCGAGTACTTTGTTTCGCGGTTGTTGCCAAATTCATACTTCACTGACTATGATAGTCTCAATGTATTGTTTGGGAGTTCTGGAGAGTTCCCTTCCTTTCATAGCTGTCGCCAGTCTCGTGATATGTGTGAGGTAAAGGTACTGTTCGAAGCAGATGATACACCCCGCCCGGTCTGGGCCACCGCGCCCCCAACCCTGCCACCCTACACAGAACGAGTGCCCTGTACCAGGTGCGATTTCTTCTATGAAGATGACGCCAACTGTTTCGACGCAGGTAAGAGAACGAGCTGCTGCGGTTGCACCCACCAATCGTTTCCAAAGAACAGACTCAACTTCCCTTCGTCTTTGTGAGCATATTTAGATTGTTCCATCTACGACTGTTTGGGCCCCGAAACAGACGAGCCAACTCAGGCACCGACTCCAATTCATGGTGGCAACGAGTCTGTTTTCGACGTCGCAACGAGCCCAGAGGTTTCAACCGCTAGGACAAGCAATATCCCCGATGTGGTAAACGTTTGCGTCAAGAACTCTCGGTCCGATCAGTTCTCGTACACCGAGTATCGCAAAGGGCTTTACTATGGATGCGTTATGAAGAGTGAAGAGAAGCTTTTTACCACCGAGTTTCAGGTGGGTGCTACCAATGTCCAGGTAGTCACACTCAAGATTGGGGAACTTTACACTGACGAAGAACTTGACAACCCAACAATCCCTGAAGATGATGACGACGACCTGCTTGGCAGCAACAACGATGAAGAAGAGGACACGTTTGACTATTGCGAAGTCACGGTGGACGGTGAAACTTGCGACAGCTGCACCTTTTGTGAAGATGAAGATCCCTCCAACATGGCCATTGACTGTACCAATGTGGTCCCTGGTGCCCTGACGTCCTGTCAATCCCTCACAGATTTCTATCATGGCATTATCCACAAGCTCATCGTGCTTCAGGAGGGTTTTGTGTTCACACAGGCACCCACGCCCAGCCCGACTCCACGTCCAACTGCACGTCCAACTCCACGTCCAACTGCGCGTCCAACTCCTTCTCCAGCTGTCGCTGCCACCCAAAGTGGCGGCAACAGTGGCGGAGAACCGGCAGCAGTTGAGACCTCTGGCAATCCTGATATTAGTCCTTTGGAGTGGGGCCCTTCTCCAGCCCCTGCCAGCGCATCAGTGCCTCAAACTGGACCCTCAGCTTTGTTTGGATTGGTTTGCACCATTGTCATGAGCTTGTTCTGGTAAAAGGAAGAGGAGCGCTTGCATGACGACAGAGGAGTTTAGGAAAGGTTTGATTCAATGCACATCCATCAAATACATGTAATAATACATGTACTGAGAAACTACATTTATTGTTAAAACATAGTTCGGACACTGCCATGGCGGGGTAGTTCTCGTATGGCAGTACACTGATGGTTTGAAATCTGTGACGCTCGTTGGAAAAGGGAGCCTGGACTGCGGGCGGGAAGTGGAACAGATCCTGGAAAGATCCTGGTGTGCTTCCCAACTTGGCGCAAAATCTCTTTGTCGTCCCAAATTACATCATCAACGGGTCCTGTCCCACGATCTGTCTTGTGTTCTCCTTGCCTTGGTCCTCTTTGGAACCGGTACCCGCAGTCAGTCCCCCTCAAAGCTTTGAGGCAACATCAGATGCCGGTACATGTAGACAATCTTGATCGACTTCTTAGTATTGAGAGCTTGGTGAAGCTAGTTCAATAAAATAACTTAACAACGAGGTAGAGAGCAACAGAATTCTACAACGGCTAAAAGAGCCAACTATACCCCATCTTTGCGTAGTAAGGTGCAACACACAAATGTGGTTGTGCCGTTGACAGAACCAGATATATTAGGAGATAGGGTAAACGATTTAGGCAGGACACGACAAGATCGACCATCGTCATCGGCAAACAAGCAACGCAAAAAGAAAGTCCACCGACCACCATCGTCTCAAATGATCCACAGAAAGTTGAGCTCCATTCAAGATTTGGGAATCCACTAATTGACTGTGTCTAATTGTACGTGATTTGAACGAGGGACCTGTTGTGTTCGGTTGTGTTTGGAAGATGCGACAGCGAAATGAGACTGCTGTGAGACAACGGACAGCGTTCAGCTCTCTGGAAGTGGCGCAGGGTCGTCCCTCAGACGATGGGGATTTTCGCGACAGCAATCGCAAGTTGTTGGCGACCAAGAGCAACAAAAGCAAACGGCAGAGACAACGCAAACGAGACAAGCTCCTCAACTATTGGCGTCACTTGCGCCTGGCCTTGGGAGAATCCTGGCGAAAAGTGCAGCCGTTGCTACGAATAGCGTGGAAACGAGTGTTGCGAATGACGGCGATTGAAATCATCGTGGTGGTGGTCTCCTTGATCTTTTTGGGTTTTCCGCTTTTGCTCTTTGCGTTTTCCGAGCGAAAGGTGATTCAAGAGCATGCCATTCACTATGACATTTACAATTGTCCCGCCAAGCCTCCGCAAGGATATCCACGAGCTTACCCCATCTTGGATGTGTTGCATCATTGGGAAATCGACAGTCTCTCCATTCCCCAACGAATCAACAAGGGACTTTGTGTCTTTGATCTAGACTCGAGCGAGAACGGACTCGATGACATTTCCATACGACAAAAAATACAGCAGTACCGTCAAGAAGAGGCTCCGTTTGTCATCCGGAACGATCCTCAGGTACTCCAAGCCGCACAGCGATGGGCACGGGACGACTATTTGAACACAAAGTTGGCGGACAGCCTGTATCCAGCGACATTGGTGTCCATTGTTGGAAATGACACGATTGCCAATAGCACCGCCATGATGAGCTTTCCAGCGTGGTCCCAACAGGCCCACACGGAGGAAGCTCTGCAATTTGTCTCGTTGCGATTGCCGAATACGGAATTTCTTCAAGAAGAACTTTCCTTCTTTCGTCCACAACCACAATTCGCGGATCGGTATCATACAAAGAAAAAAACCAACGACAAGGACTTGCTCCTCTACGATGTCACGGCAGCCGGTGGCATTCAATGCGATTTTCAATCCCCCGGATTCCGCGTCGAGGAGACGCTGCAAATGGCCGATAGCAGCGGCAGTTACATTGCCGTGCTGAGCGGTTCCAGTCGCTATATGTTGGTTCATCCCAAGGAGTGCAAAACCATCTATTTGGAATCGAAACGAGACGAAGATGGGCACTACTCGTCGCGCATCCACCTCAATCGATACTACAACATGACGTCTCATCATCACCGAACACAGGCGTCATCGTCCTTGCATCATCATCATCACCATCACCCACAGTTCCAAGAAAAGGAATTTCCATTATTTCACAAGACCACCATGACCGAAGTCGTCTTGGAAATGGGAGATGTCTTGTATTTGCCAACGCATTGGTTTCGATACAGCGTCACAGTCCAAGACAGCCCGAGCTATCAGTGCAAAGTACACTCCGACAGTGTCGGGAATCACAAGTATCATTCCATGGTGCACGATTGTCTCAAGAAAGTAAAAAAAGCCTGAATCAGAGACGACAATTCATGGGTGTTGCTCTTGGTGTTGGTGCAAGCAAGCATGCAGCATGTATGTACCTGTCGTCAGATCAATAATCACTGGTCAGCGAGTGCAATGCACATCGGCTCCTACTAAGCAAGTTGACTTCCCAGCGTTTGGTTTGCGAGAATCAAATCAGGTTTGGGGTAGTTTCCTCCTTCAACTAACTCCACCAATGACGATTGACTGCTAATAACGACCAACCGATAGCCACTTAGGTCAACAATGACTGTGTGGCTATCGTGCAGGCACACCAGCCACGAGCGTAGCTCTTATACCCCTTGCGCTCTGCTTGTGGTCCGTCTTTGAAAATTACTTGGTTTCTGCCCCCCAGTATACCTGATAGCTAGTCCGCAACCAACGGTTCCTTGGTGCATGCTCCAGGATTAGGCATCCGGTACCATGCATGCCGGAACGATGCCACTGTGGATGGGAGCAGGAGGAGAGGGTGCAGCAAGAAAACTCCCGGCCTTTTAAAAAGAGCACTGATCCGTGTATATCATTTACCACAGTCTCGTGTTCGACTATCAATAAGCTAGAAAAGCAAAAAAGGCATGTTCGGGGAGATTGGAAAACGGTATCGGAAGAAGAGGCCTACCGGTGCCTGTACCGTGTGGGACTCAAAGATCCCTGCATCACCTGCGACCCGTGAATTCCCAGGACCAACGATCGAGCAACCGTGGTCGCAACTAAGACCCGCCGTTTAGCACTCGTGCAAGAGCTCGACTTCACATAAAAACAACAATCGAAGACACAACAGACACAACACCACATAAAGCCAATACCTTCAAACAATGAAACTGCACAAATCAAACTTTCTCAGACAACTCAAGGCAGTTGCTGACCAGAAACAGAATGAAACCTTTACGACATGGCATGAGCTAAATGGAACTATTGGTCAGGAATACACCTTTGGAGGGCTTTGGGAAGAAGCTGGAGCTATTGCCCATGATCTCCACCACAAATGGGGAGTCAAGAAAGGAGAAAAGGTGGTTTTGTGCTATAACTTTGGATTGCACTTTTTTGCTGCCTTCCTAGGCTGCTTGAGGGCTGGGGTTGTGGCAATTCTGGTTTATCCACCATTCCCACCTCTCACCAAGACACTCACAAAAATGGAGAAAGTCATCAAAGACTGCCAGCCTGTGTTGATCTTGACGGACGTAACGATAATGGCATCGAAGAAACTGGATGAACTAAAGCCATTCTCAAAGAGCAAGGGAATGTGGCCCAAGGGCATCCCATTCAAGGTTACCAATGGTATCAACTTTCTCACAAAAGATGGAAAATTTGACGAGGAAGACATTCTTGAGTCTGATATTGCCTTTTACCAATACACATCGTAAGTACCATGATTCAGCGAATGGCAACACTTCTTCTCTTAATCCCGTGTTGGACAGCAACTAACACGAGTTCAATGTTGCAGAGGAAGCACTGGTGATCCAAAAGGAGTCATGGTGACATTCAAAGCATTGGAAGCTAATGTGAAACTCTTACAAGATGGCATCTACGATGACTTTGCCAGAGATGGACTCGGGGCTGATGATATTGTTGGCTTCTCTTGGTTGCCACAGGTACGTTCAGCAGAGACCTTGTCACTCCTCAGTTCTTTTTCTGTTAGCTAAACTTTACTCAATGTTTGCAATCAGTACCATGACTTTGGGTTGATCTTTGCCTCCATAGTGCCTTTTGCTGCAGGGTGGAGAATGCACATGATGTCCCCAATTTCATTCATCAAGAAACCCTTGCTTTGGCTGGAACTCATGTCAAAGCATAAAGTCACATTGGGGGTTGCCCCAGACTTTGCCTATCACTTGGTTGTCAGAAAGTTCAAGGAGGAGAGATCAAAGAATGGTGGAAAAAGTCCTATTGCCAACTTTGATCTGTCAGCAATCCATGGGTTGCAGAATGGTGCTGAACCTATTCGACTGGACACCCGAGATACATTCACAGAGACCTTCTCTGAGTTTGGCCTCCGCCAAGATTGGTTTCACACTGGTTATGGTATGGCAGAAACTGTGGTAGGTGCAACACACATGCCACAATACAAACTCTCAAGGCCTCGGGGCGAGGATACAAGGAGATTTTTGGCAGTAGGGTCTAGAGAGACATTTCATGACAGCCTTACTGGGAAAATTGTTGACCCCGTCAGTCTAACTGAACTTCCAGATGACCAAACAGGGGAGATTTGGATTGCTGGTCCTTCTGTTGCTGCTGGATACCATGGAAAGCCAGAACTGTCTAGGGAAGTCTTCCAAGCCAAGCTCCCTCCAGAAGGCTCTGCCAGTGATCAAGATGATAGCTCCACCACCTTCCTTCGAACAGGGGATTTGGGCTTTATGCAAGATGGGTGCTTGTATGTTTGTGGCAGGATCAAAGACTTGCTCATTATCAATGGGGTCAACTACTATCCCCAAGATATTGAGCTTGCTGTTCAATCCTGCAATGGTGTCAGGCCAGGATGTGTGGCAGCCTTCTCTTCTGATGACTCTGGTGAAGGTGATGGCCAGCTTGAAGTTGTCTTTGAGATTAGGAATGCAAACAAGAAGACTGCACAGACTGTCTGTGAGGCAATAAAATCTGCCATCATTCAAGACATTGGTATTGTTCCTTCCAAGATTATTGCATTGGAAGAAAGAAGCATAGCCAAGACAACCAGTGGCAAAATTCAGAGAAGGAGAAACAGAGACCTGCTCCATGCAAATCAACACAAAGCTGTGTTTGTCCTGGATCAGTCATCCATGTTGGAGATAGCAGCAACCAGCGGTGGCCCCCAAGAGATAGCCCAGGACCTGCCTCCTTCAGAGAAGTTTGATGCCATCATGACTTTACTCTTGGGATCTTGCTATGATCCAGATTCTGAATGGGATGAGAATGGCCTCACTTCCCTAATTTTGATTGAGCTCAATAACAAGCTAGCCGAATCCTTTCCAGCCACCATCCCCAGTGACTTTCCTGACCAATATCCAACCCCAGCTGCACTCAAAAAGTACATTCTCAGCCCAAATCATGGATCATTCTTCCCCGTTGAAGTACCAAGCTTTGACACTTCAGCTACAAGACTTCCGTGGCCTGTAGTCACTCTTTTGCAGGGGGTTGGCATTATGGTTCTCTTTTTGATGCTATCTGCAAGCACAATTCCTTCCTTTTGGTGCTACAAGCTCATCATCTATGATGGAGCACCACCTGCTCTTGGGATTTTGCTACCACTTGTCTTCTTGCTTTGGCACATTGCCTTCACTCTTTTGGTTTGCCTCTCAAAGTGGACTGTCATTGGCAAGTACACAGCCAGAGAGGTTCCAGTGGCATCCCTATACTATGTCAGATGGTGGTTTGTTGACAGGACAGTGCACTTGTGGGAGATGTTGATTGGCAGGTATGTCAAAGACACTCCATGGCTGTGGCTCTTCTATACAGTGATGGGCTGCAAGGTTCACTCCTCTTCCAAGTTGGATTGCTTCCTCCGAGAGCTTGATCTCTTGGAGATTGGTGAAAATGCTGAGATCAGTTTTGGGATCAAATGTCGAAAGTTTGGACCCTGGCAGGAGTCTGGGCGACATGCTGGGTCTCCCACATTGAGGTTCAGACCAATCAGAATTGGGGATGACTGTGTGGTTGAAGGGCAAGTAGGTCCTGGTGTGGTACTGGGAGATGGCAGCAAAGTGGAGAAGCTAGCAGCCGTCCCTGAGGGTTCCCAGGTACCAACTTCTGCCATTGCAACAGGAAGTCCTGCTCACCAGAGTGGCATGGCACATCCCAAAAAGAACTCTGAGCATGACAAGAAGAGTATGGCTGTGTTGAGAATTATCAAATGTATTTGGCCCCTTATGGAACTCTACTTGACCTTTGCCATTGCTGGGTGTGTTGGGTGGGCCATCGCGACTGGATTCTCTGGGTTTGAGTGGCGCTATTCTACCCTTTTGAAGGCATTCCTCATCATTGTCCCCACAGGTATTGGAAACTTGCTGGTTTGCATTCCCATGAAATGGATTCTTATTGGACACCGAAAACCAGGTCCAGTAACCAACAACTCTATCTTCCAAAAATCGCTTGACTGGATGGTCGACTACCATTTCTTTGCCAGCCTTGTTCTTCTGGACCTAGTGGCAGAAAATGCAGTCATGATCAATGGCTTTTTGTGGTTACTGGGCTTGGATATTGACATTCAAACTAAGGTGTGGTGTGTACACTTCCCTCCCTCCAAGGTGGATTTAATCACTGTCACAAAGTCATCGCTATCTGTTGCACATTTTGATGTCAAACAAGATGGCGAGTACAAAAAGATCCACATTGAAAACACAAGCATTGGGCACAGTGTCACTATTGACGGTGGTGTAACCATTGACTCGGCCCAGATCAACCCATTGACACATGTGACAGCCAACATCCAAGGTAATTTGACTTCAAAGGGAACAAGATTGCCACTATCAAAAAGATTGGTGGTTGATCTTGCCACACCTTTGATAGCAACAATGCTCTTCTTCTCCATCATCCCAACTTATGAGTTCTACCAAGTGGACTTCTATGTTCCCTTGGTTGGATTTCCAGTTGTGAAAATGGCTTTGGCACTTGCAGTTTTCTGTTTCTCTTGGTTCTTTCTCCTCGTACTGCTCCATTGGGTCACATATCCAAGTCAGTACTTTTTTGGAGCTCGAGGACAAACTAAGCCCTGGTCCTTGGCCATGTTTGCAATTTACATGGACTTGCACTGCTACCTCTGGGACTTCTCCCTCCTTCCAATCTTCTGGGGCACACCCTTCTTCAATTTGTTCCTTAGAGGCATGGGATGTAATGTAGAGGGCCAAGCTCTCTTCTTTGGTATTCGCCTCTATGACTTGCCATTGGTGACAATCAAGGACCGGACCATCATTGATTCGTGCATTGTTTCGGGGCATTCTTGGGTCTATGATGGTGTTTACATTGGACCAACAACTGTTGCTGGAGTTCTACATGAGGGAAGCTTCTGTTTGGCCAACACATATCTAGAGGATTCAAGCAAAGAGACTCACCCAATGCAGTTTGTGCCACCCAGATTGAATGGGGGGGAGGGAATTTGAAAAATCCCGACAGTGAACTCATGATCTAGAAAGTGTGTAGGCCTATGTGAAAAGATAATGTCACACATTCGAATCTGTTATTGACATAAATGCATTTCTAAGCTAAGAATAGTACAACTGCACTACTACGCCTGCCTAGCTTTATTCATTTTGTTCATCTCAGCTAGCTAGCTGGGTCATTCTTTGCTCTGCCTGATTAAATAAATGCCAAACGGAATCTAAGCAATGTTTTGATCCTTTTCATTACTGCAACTTTCATGCCAGCCTGCACTCCCCTGCTTTTTGCCAAGCTGAAAATGAAAGATGCTGAGTGGCCGGCAGGGTGGGCTGCAGTATAGCTGCATGAGAAGGACGCGCCAAAGCTCCATGTTGTCGTTATAGCAAACACATTTCTATGAGCTTTAGTTTAGTGGTTGGATGAAGGAGATGGCCTTGCTTACTGGCCCTTGAACAAAACATCCTGCCACTAGCAATCTACGTTCTCATCTTCTAAATTATTATGCGATTATCTATGTGTGCAAACTAGACGCAAATCGGGTATGAAAGTAAAGGAGTCGAGTCCAATCCATCTCCAATCAAACTCTACTGCATTGTCACATGGTTTGGTTGAGATCCCTTTTGCATGACATCCACTACCGCTTCGGCAATCTTCGTCTGAGGTTCTACAATGGTGGGAAACCACTCCTCGATCGCCTCTCGGAAATGACCCATCTCCCGATCGGCTTGGTCGGTGTACACCGCCTTCCAAAGCGTTTGCATGACTTTGTTGGGCACAGGAACCTTGGGGGATACAGTTTCATAGTAACTGCCCTTGGTCTGGTTTACCGCGGCTGGCTTCCATGGGTTGTTTTCCACGAGAACAAATCCTTCCATATTCCCATCCAGAGCCTTTCGTGCAACTGACTCGACAGCATCCGCGTACATGCCAAGCCATTCCAATTCGACATCCTCTTGTACTTGGCGCACCATACCGCCCACTTCAAATGCAGGGTGCAGATAGACATTGAGCAATCGATTCGTGTCTTCGTATCGCACCAAACCTTCAAAGGCAAATGCAGTGTTTCGGTCAGTCCCCCATTCAAAGTAGTACGAAATGATATCTTTGCGTGCTTTCAGCTCGGGGTGAAAGTCGAGGCAAATGCCCTCATAGTAAGAGTAGGTTCCATCGCTGTTGGGTACAATGACATCCCGAATGGCGTGACCATCCTGCAAGATGAAAATGTCATCGGCCACCTGAGCTCGGGCCACAGTTTTGGCCACGACCTCTTCTTTGGTCATGACGAAATGAGGATAGCGAATTCCTGCATCCTCCTCTCGGATATGATAGGCGAGATTGCGAATGAGGTAGCGAAATCCGCTCAAGAATCCACCTGCATCAAGACAAAAAAGAGTACAAGTTAGACACAGTCAATTACAGAGAGCAAAAAAAGACACCAGTGGATACGAGATTTACGACAATCTCCACAGAAAACTGCAACAGCAACATTTCTTTTGGACGTACCGGCACTCTTTCGAAAGTCTCGTCCATGCATGAGCCAACCAATGTAGTGGACTTTATTGTTGTCGACAGCTTGATACCAGTCGCCGGACATGGGGAATCGTTCTCCCATGGTCAATCCACCTGGAATGGCCGAATCGAATCCAGTGGCCGTAAAAAATATTTCACAGGAATAGCTGTGCAGCCACGAAGCAACCAGGCTAATGTTTTCAACCAATTTCATTTGTTCGTCACTGAGGATGTTTTCGAGTCCTTTGATTCTGACGAGTCCAGGGATGAAGAAATCGACCGTATCGAGCATTTTCATGTTGAGATTTTCGAGCACTTGCAAGTACTTGACACGGACATCTCCCGTGTATCGTGTGACAGAGGAGAGTCGGGGTCCGTGTCGACCATAGAGAAAGACGCGATCGGCGACCTTGTAGACATTTTGTGCCAATTCAAATCCCGAATTTCCATTTCCAAGAATGCAGACTCGTTTTCCTTCTGCCATGCTGGTGGTGGATTTGGAGTAGGGGATGGCTCCCAGGGCTTCAAAGAAATTGTTTTTCTTCTCCTGCAGTCCCGTTCCTACAAAGATGCGGTGCTTGGCACATTTTTCTTCACCCGTCGAAGCAATCACCACACAAGGACGATTGTCGTCTGCCACGCGTTCCACTTCGACACCAAATTCAATGTGGGGGTAAATGCCAGCCTCTTGTGCGAGAATGTTCATGTAGCGATGCCAATCCTTTCCCTTGGGGAAAAAGTCGCGAGTGACATTGAGCATTTCCACAGGAGCTTCGAGCAGAGTGTGCCAATCAAAGCGGAGTTTCTGGGTTTCATTGCGGACCGCCTTGTTGAGGGAAATGAGTTCTTCATAGCGAGGAAACTTGCTGAAATGGGAACCAATCAAATCAGTCTTTTCCAGAATCTTGTAGGAAAAACCAAACTTTTCCATGTACAGTGCCATTTGAAGACCCGCCCCTCCCGCTCCCACAATCAGATAGTCTGGTGTGTTGTTGTCGTCATTATTTCCCTTGGCGGCGGCCGTCACAACAGACGAGAGCAAAATTGGTAATAGCAGTAGTTGATGAAGGAGTTTCATGTTGTTGTTGTGTTGATGGATGGATGTTGTGCCTTTGTGGCTTTATTGAATGGAAGAAAGGATCAGCGGTCGGCAGAAAGAAAGCTGGAAAGGTCTGACAAGATTGGACCATCTGCATTGGGGCAAAGGTTGCACAGAACCGTCAACAAAGCAGGTTTGTGTGCAAGATGACCTGAGACTCTGACTCAAAGGTGCCAAGCGGATCCTTCCCCTCAGCGCGAAGCGCAACCACGCCTCTCTGCCGGCTTCAAAGCCTGTTCTTTAGTCGAGCGGCTCGACTAATTTGACTCGACTCAGTCGAGTCATCAGTTTGGGGTTGCGTCATCGAGCTTCCAACTGGCACAGGCTTATTTGGAGCCGTTTCGAACCTTTGTTTCGCGGAAGATGCATCATTCATCACCCATCATTCCCACGACATCCTCATCCTCCTTCAATCAGAACAAAGTGTTTTCGTAAGTTGGACGCTTCAAGCAGGAGGTCCTCAATTGTAAACGTGGCCTAATCGCATGGTCCCATTTTTGACATCTCTCAAACCTGCAAACAGGTAGTAGCCAGAGATCAGAGCATTAGTTAGAAAGTTGCTTCCAAAAGAAGAAGAATGGCCAGTACAAATGATAATGGCGGCCTCGTCCGTCTTTCGTGTTGCGCATTGGGTATCTGCGTCTGTTACATGTACTATGGGATGATCCAAGAGAGTCTGTTGAGTCGACAAAAGATTGGTCCTTCATTTGTGCTATTGATTCAATGTACTACCAACACCATTGTGGCCCGTCTCTGGCAATGGATCGATCAGTCCATGAAGGCTTCCAGCCCAGCCGCAGCCGACAAACGAATTTACGACAGCATGGTGGGATTGCATCACCCTCTATTGGCAGCCACGGCGCTTTGCTATGTCTCGGCCATGGTTTGCTCCAACGAATCTCTCCATTATGTATCCTACCCCACGGCCGTGTTGGCCAAATCCTGCAAGCTGATACCCACCATGGCCATGGGAGTGTTGGTAGAACACAAAATCTACGAACGAATGGAATGGATGGCTGCCTGTTGCATTACCATGGGGATTGTACTCTTTAACTACAGTCGAATGCAAGGAAAAAACAACGACATTAATGAAGATTCCTCCTGGAGTGGATTGGCATTGTTGTCGTTGAGTCTATTGGCGGATGGATTTCTGGGATCCTTTCAGGGATTACTCAAACAGAAGGGGTATCTGGAAATGCCAGCAACTGGAAAGAAGGTCCCTGTACGGGCTCCCACTGCCACGGAAACCATGCTCTTTGTCAATCTATACGCAATATTCTTCCTGATACCACTGACCATGTTCAACGGGCAAATGGAGGATGGGTTGGCCATGCTCCAAGGAACTCTATCCAGCAGTCATGATCCGGACGAAGTAGGAGCCCACAAAACACTGCTAACCGGGCTGGTGGTTCTCAATCTGACTGTCGCCGTGGGACAGGTGAGTTGCTACTACAGTACTGCAACGTATTCTATTGAGTATTTTGGGTGCATGGCTTGGCCAAACAGCACAATCTCGATCTTCTCTGACTTTTCTTTTTTTCTTTTTGTGTTGCCAGATTTTCATTTTCTTGACCATTACCTGGTATTCTTCCTTGGTATGCACTACTATTACCACAACCCGCAAATTCTTTACCATCTTGCTCAGTGTCATGTACTTTGGACACCATTTCACCATGTTGCAATGGGTCTCCACGGGATTGGTCTTTTGTGGACTCTATCTGGGTATTATGGGACAGAGGGCCAAACAACAACAACAACCAACGAAAAAGGCGGAACCCATGAATGATTTCTCGACAACACACTTCTCACCCACCAGAACCAAGAATGGGGTCAAAGAGGAATAGATAGATGCACACAGCAAAGGTTGACACCGACGACCGAATCGAGCCTGAGACGACCTTGTCTCGCACTCCAGAGAAAGAAGTTGGAATTTTCGGTCAAAACACAAGGCACATAGATACAAGCTTCCTACATCCTATATATACATTACTAGCAGCAAACCCCCATACTACTATTCGTTTCGTCCTTTCGTGGCTCGATACCCTTGATTTGGGTCAAAATGGAAAGGAGGAGACAAAGAGTCTTAATTTATTTTACCCTCCGCGGCCTCCAATCTGTCAAGATTTTCACTTTCAGCGTTCATGTTGTTGTTGGCAATGGCACATACTAGTTCACTCATTGTAACTATGGAATAACTCTGTCTTGTTCGTTTTCTTCGTTTCTGGAGAGAAAAAACCAGGCGGTGTTGTTATGAGATGTTGGGAGCTCACTTCAACTGTTGTCATTGCTCCATCTCAATAGCTGGTGTTCCATCTTATGCATTCACAGTGTGGGTCAAAAATTTACACGCACCCACGGGGGAATCTCAAGTCCACTGCAGCGGCAGTCGGTACGGTAGCTACGAAGAAATCCTTCCATTTCGTTGCTCTTCCAAAGGACGGGATCAATAGTCGTAGACACCGGAATATTCAACATTCATTCTCGTGTCCTGCTGTTCCACCTTTCCTGGCGGTTGCTCTCGATGATGGCATCAAAGAAGGATCGATCGTCTGGCCGTTGCTCTTGGTTGGCTACAAAATCGTCGCGACACCCTGGATTGCAGAATCCCACCACAAAGCAGCGATATGTCGTCAAGGAATCCGCTGCCACTGGCTTTCCCGATCGGGGACAGGACTTGTTGATACAGCTACTCGTCTCCATCGTTGCGTGCGTTTCAAATGATGAGAAATGGGATTTCGACATCCGCCACAGCCATCCAGCCATGCACAATTGCGTTTTGCTGCTGAGGAAAAATACTACTAGTTCTCTTCTCATTGCCTTTGAGTACCGAATGAGATTTAATGTACAAGTTGTGCTCAGCCAGGAGAGACATTGATGGCTCGCTCGGGAAGACAGTTTTAGACGGGTAGATGCGTTAAATATAGGGTTAAAGATACAGTTTACTCTGCATATTTGAAACCAAAATATTTATTACCTCATATACCGCATTTCCAAAGCTGTCTTCCGGGCCCTCCCACGGCATGCGGGTGCGGAGCCGAGTGAGAGGTGGATAAGGTCTGAGATTAGTCGTCGCCTCAACTCCCGCCGCGATGAGACGGTCGCCTCGTTCAGTGATGTCAAAACGCCGTTGCCTCATGAATCGAATCGAATCCCTCGATGGTCTTCAAATTTCAAACGGAAGAATACTAGTAATGAAAGGCTTGTGTCAATCATGAAGGACGACCTGTCCAATCTTTCGTTTTGGGCATGGGGCTATCGATAGATTGCGGAATTGGTACCAGGTACCATGAAGGAAGAACACCCCCACAGGCTCTCTCGACTTTCGAGCTATCCGCTCTGCTACCCTCAAGTTGGGGTTTCTTTTTGGAGTACTCCTCTACTTGTCGGTCCTTGTCGTTCGCTTGGTTATTGGTGCGGCTGGTTCTTTTGGAAACACCACCATTGAGCAACGCAGAAATTGCACCTTCGTGTGGCCACTCTCCTGTTCTCTATTGTTTACATTGAAGAGTTCCCCGAATCTCCGATCGTTCGTGTCGGCTCTGTATGGGCACTTCATTCATGATACGCTTGTCAATGGATCGGAATCGATTCTTGCAACTTTGATTGATTTTGGGAAGAAGCAGTTCCATGTCGGTGCTCTTTTGGGAGTATGTGTTGCTTGGGCATGTTCCGATTTCCTCATGGAAGTACCTTTGCAAGGCTATCACTCCTTGCTCGTGATATTGCTCCTTGTTGCTTGCTACCTTTTCAACAACGATAAGTATCACACGCGGTCGGGCACTCCTTCCTCGGCCGTGTATAAAAGAGGTGCGGCGGATTGTTCCTCGGTGATTACACTGGACAGTGAAGAGATCGAACAGGAGCACTCAACGACAGTTCCACGATGCGTTTGGCTATTCTTTGGAGGGAAGCTTCGATACAGAGCACATAAAATCACAACGAGTGCATATTGAGAGCAGCGAACTTGAAAAAAGAAAACACGATAACATCTCTCTCGCTCTGTGACCATGTCGTTGCTCGGTTACATCAGCCGCTTCTCTACTGCAATCGCGGTCGGATCCATCTCATTCGCGGGGCTCGTGCTGTGTGCGTGGAGTTCAGCTTTTGCTTCCTTCTTCATCCAAGCGTCGATGGCTGACGGGCAAGACGATCGGGGCGCTCGCATCTTTGGCTGTCTGTTTGCAGGGACCTCGATTCTTGCCGTCTCGTTGATTCGATTGCTCATGTTACTGGTCAAGGATCACATCCATCGCCACTGCGACGGAGAAGAGGGGGAACAGACCGAGCACATGGGCAAAGCTACGACAGCCATTGGATTCTTTATAGGTTTTGGTTTGCCGTGGGTTGCTCTGGAAACGGTGCTCAATGGGTTTGTGTCGACCTACAAACTTGTTTTTGCAGCAACCATGTGCATTCTCTGGCTTTTTGCCAGTGACACGACGGACAAAGTCAGGGCAAAACATGGCGACAACAACAAGCGACGAAGTTGCGTGGGCATCTTTTTCCTTTGGGTACTGGAATTTACGCTTCACGTTCTCTTTACAAGCTCCGTTACGATTTGGCTCATGGAATACGCATTTGGGAAGGTGCTCGAGGGACAGTCAAACCTTTGTGTTTTCATGTATGCTTGGACGGTCTCATCTGTTGTAGCCATTTCAACCTACCGAATGCAAGCCAATTTGTCTTCAAGATTCCGGTGCTGCTTGCGTATGAGTTACTTGCAGTGGAATACGAAGGACAAGCGTCAACGCAAGGCCTATTTCGCTGAGAATTTGTTTGCTCTTGTGGCCGTGGTAACATTGAGCTCCATATGGATGAGGGTCCAGGTCTTTCACATGACAATCGATCCAACTATGGCTCATTCCGCTATAGCTTTTTTGAACATTGGTTCGTTGTTGTTGTTGGCCCACAACTTTGTTGTGTTTCTGGAGCCTGAAGAGGGATCTCCAGAGGATGGCAAGGATGACTCTAAGGGCAAACAATTCGACTGGCAGGACGAGCTCTCAGTCCCATTAGTGAGAGTGGTGTAAACTAAAAAGACACAAGAAACAGGCATCATGAATAGACACTACAGTGTACTGACTTTCATGATACCGGTATCACCACGCCTGCTGCACAAAATCACACACACACATGCCTTGCTTGCCTCTCAATTGTTTGAGTATACAAAAGCAGCCACAGATCTTGATGGGAAAGACCAAGTTAGTCACCTGTAGACAGGCACAATCCTGTCAATGCCGGACAAACATACCAAGAGTGTTTGCCCCGCCGCATCCACAATCTCCATTGCCTTTGGACGGAAAGCATTGCATTGTGCCGGAAGAGAAAGGTGCACTCCATCTTCAAGTAGCACAAGTTCAATGAGGGACAACCAGGATGACACAACTGTATTTCCAAAGGATGCCACACACCCTGGACCATTTCTAAAACCTGGCAGAACATCCCAGTGGCCCGATGAGAGCAACTGTACAGTCTGCTTGCCAGAGACAACAACACAGGATGTATCATTGTTGGCACTCTGCCGCAAGAAACCAGTGCATTTTTTTGCAGCATAGTCACTGTCCGGTAAATCTGCCACTCTAGTCCAGATACAAGAAGTGACATCCAATGAGAAAACTTCACGACAGGGACCAATCATATGGTTCCAGTCAGTTACCATGCCACCACCAGCAACCAAAATAGTATGATTGCTTGAGGCAATGGTAGCATAGCCACCATATGCACGACCAGGGAAGCTGGGAATGCCAGCAGGCACCCATGCTTCTGTTTCGAGGTCAAAACAGAGGACTTCTCGGTTGTTTCCGTAGGATCCAGTCTCACCACCAATGATGTAGACAAGGGATCCAAGTCGACAGATTCCAGCATTACAGACACCCACCGGCATGGGGGCTAGACTTTTCCAAGAAGAAGTCTTTACATCAAAGATGGCTGTAGATGAAGAGCAGTTACCGTTCATTTCACTTACTGTAAGCCATTGCCCTTCATTCTTCGCAGCAAATTGGTTGCCACCACAATAAAAGATTTTGGACCCTTCATCATCAACAGCACAAACATTTGGAGCAGTTCGCCCCAAATTATCTGGTGCTTCATTGGCAATAGAAAGTAGACTCCATGCCCCTAATATTGCTGCTTTCGAAACATCAAATGTCATTGAAGCGAATGAAAACTGTAGAATAGGGCTTGGGTTGGGACGTAGCTGTTCAACATAGCCCAAGGGGAAGGCTTTTGAACAGTTGTGCAATCCAAAGACCAGCAAACTACTGGGGGGTTGCAGTTGACAACAAGCGCAAAAGAGATCTTTGGCACACTTTGGCCAGGTGATAATCCAAGCGTGTACTTTGTTGCGGCACTGCTTGCTGGTGGAACTCAGATAGTGCAAGTCTGCAAAGGAAAGGAAGGATCCTGCTGATGAAAGAAACCAATCAGAAGCCAGGACATCTTCCCAAGTCAAAGTTGTCTCTGGAGGTGACTTCATGGTGGTGTGTGAGTGTCTTTGAGTGCTGCAAACAGCATGACCAGCGAGCAATCTCGGGTTTACAAATCTCAGGTTTTCGTGCAAACAGGAGCAGGGGGGTTGGGTGGTTACCCCAAACTAACTTGTTTTGCCCCTCGCTCGCTTGTCCCACCTTCCTGAATACGAGTACTTGGGGATCAGGGTGCCTGCTGACTCCAGCCACATTTGACCACCTCCTACAATACAGTCTTTTCACCACCTTTTATAAAACGTCCTTGCCATTATTACCACCCTGGACTATTGAATTCTCCTCCACGTTTTTGGTCTAGTTTCAGGGGTCGCACGAATACCACATTCAGGTGGCCAAACAGAGAAGATTGATTTGAAGCACCCCCACTACCTAGCTAGCCCAGGGAGAAGGAAAGGATCCACTATTACTAGTAGACTAGCTAGATACCGTAGTTAGGATGTATGATGATTGGTGGGAGTCTCAAGTCGGGTTAGGTGAACGGCACCCTTTCACGTTGCGGTGGTTTCTCGGTGACCTTTTGCAGCCAGACTACGGTAGAACTTGGTGGGCAGGGAATCGAATCAAAGTTGGGATGCTCCAGATGCAGCCAGCAGTAACTCTCAATCAAACAAGCTCAAATACGATTACCTCGCATTCTTGAATGGCCGATAGTAGTGCTTGAGTATACAGCTAAGAGTCATGACAAAGTGCTTGCTGAATATCAATTGGGCATTGTTAAATGTTCATGATGCCGTGTGGGGGTCCCAAACTCGTTGAGGAAATGCCATCCAAAGGGTGCTGGAGCATGCGTATGGCGACCACAGCGTGATTCTATGCTGATGTGACGCTGTTCATTTGTCAGGGGCTTTCCCATCCAGATGTTGCTGGAGTGCTTGCAATACCTTGAAGTGAATATCCCCATTGCTCACCACTACACCGGTCCCCATCAGTTTTTCTCCTTGTGTGAAATCCAGACAATTGCCATGCATATCCGTGACGGTTCCGCCCGCTTCTTCCACCACTAGGCATCCCGCCGCATGATCCCAAATGTTCTCTTTATAGTGTGGTTTGCCGGGATTGGGAAGGCAAAGGTAGAGCGCCGCTTGACCAGACGCTACAATTCCGTATTTGGCCTGCGAATCCATTCGGATAGAATCGGTGGTCATTCCCGTGGCGGCAGCAATGGCTTTTTGCAATGGTTGATTGCTGTGTGCGGATTCCCAACTTTCCACCATTCTGGGATTCTCGTTGGACACTCGAATGGATGGAGGACTACTACTAGTACTGACATTGCCATCATGAGTGGACAACCGTTGCATGGTAGCCCCTTGTCCACGAACCGCCACAAATAGAGCACCCGCTTCTTCCAAAGCAGGACACGCCATGACACCCACTTGGACTTGACCGTCTGCCACAAGTGCCAACGCGACGGCGTATTGATCTCCTCGCAAAAATCCCTTGGTGCCGTCAATGGGGTCCAGTGTCCAATATCTCTGTGACACAGTGCCATTGCCATGATTAATCCATCTTGGAATATCCTCATGGTTCGCCTGTGACTCTACCGTTTGGACGCATTCCGTCACTCGTTCCAGATTTCTACCGCAAAGATTCCCAGCATCCTCTTCAGCCACCACAGGATCCGTGGGAAATGACTCCAGCAATGCCTTGCATACCACGGCTTGGGCCCCATAATCCGCGATTGTCACGGGACTTTTGTCGTCCTTTTCCATTGCATTTTCCAGCGTATTTTTACGAACATATTGGCACAACTTGGCGGCAGCCGTGACAGCTGCAATGGCGACGGCTTTTTCAGTGGCATAGGCAGACATCAGACAATGGTTATTGTGTAAGCTATTCAGCCAGCGATACATGCCGTATCCTCGGGATCTTCGTTGTTTGCATGTTCATCTCAGAAGAAGATCCGATTTGAAGCTAGTTGAGCTGGTTTGCACACAAATACCGCCTGTCCCATGGTTTTTGTAGGGAAATGCCCGCTTGAAGCTTGGGGAGATGATAGGATCAGAGAAGCGAGGACTCATCCACGAGGGTGCCCATTGCTTAGTGCTGAACCGGTATACGACGTGTATTTTCTGCCTGCACAGGTGGATACGGCAGTGCTTGGCTGAAACTCAGGCTTTCTGGTAGTTACTGGTAGTTATTGGTACAGAAGATATGATTTCCGACCAGCGGAAAAAACACAAATTTGGTGCCCTATGATAAGAATCCATACGACTGTACCCACTTCATCTGGAGGTGGTTCCCAAAATCACGGCTCCAATATTTTCCACAGCGACCGATTCAAGGTGGTCGGCACTGGAACCGACACAATCTCCGACCATGTCCTCGCCAGACCAGCACTGTTCTTCGTACAATCCGCCATGGTGTAGCTCATGACAGTGAGGTATCATAGACATGTTGAACCGCGGGAGTCAATAAAGCTGGTTGAGCTGTCAAGCACCACTCTGACCAAAGTTTCCAGGGGTATCTTTGCTTTCGGGAGGGTTCGGCAAATCTCGCGAAGATCTTCGACCCGTTGAAAACATCAAGATCCCCAAACAACATACATACCCAAAAAGTGCTTTATCGCTGGCGGCAGTTGCCTCATTGCCTCCTGTTATCAGAAGCACTGATTGGATTGTTCTGCTTTGGATAGGGTGCAAGCTAAGCTAAGCTACTGATATCTTTTTCGTTGCTGGGCCAAAGAACCAAAAAACTTGACCTGTGTTGACAGAAATGCTTCGTGGCAGCAAGGGAGGCAGGATGTCTAGTAGCACGATTCCAGTCCACAACAACAATGGTGGCGGCGACGACTTGGAAGGCGGTGGTGGAAATCCATTGTTGGCTCGTTCTCCTTCGAGTGGTTTGAATGCTATGGATATGGAAATGGATCCTCTTCATCCCAGTGGCAAGCAACGCAAACGCAAGAAACACTCGACCGCATCCATTGTCAACATGGCTACCTCCTCGTCTCTGGATTCCATTCGACTCTACGGAACTTTGCTCGTCGTGGGATCTTTATGCATCTGTCCCTTTGTAAAGATCCAATGGGCCATTTTGGTGCTGGTCTATGCGTCGTGTCTCTTTGGCTGCTTTGCCACTCTCTGGCTGGGTCGCAGTGTCTTGCAGTGCGACGATGGTACCGCTGAAATGAGAGCCGTCAGTGATCCCATCCGAGAAGGAGCCGAAGGATTCTTGCATGTGCAATACACGGCCATTGCCAAGTTTGCCATTCCCTTGGCAGGAATGATTGTCATTAGTTATCAGTTCCGTCCTCATAATATGGAAGGAGAACTCACGGGACCTGCCATTTTGGGAAATACCTTGTTGGGCATCGTGGCGGCCATGGGATTTGCCTTTGGAGCTATTTGCAGTGCCATTAGTGGTTATATTTCCATGTGGGTAGCTGCACAGTCCAATATCCGAGTCGCTTCCGCGGGGCGTCGGTCCTATGGAGAAGCTTTGGTCATTTGTTTTCGAGGAGGCGCCTTTTCGGCCGTTCTAAACTTGACGCTCTGTATTGTTGGAGTCACCACCCTCTACTTGATCATGTACATGCTCTTTTGTAAGGGCGAAAATAGTCCTACGGAAAATACCTGGCAAGTGTTGAATGCGACCGAAATCCCCATGCTCCTGGTGGGATATGGATTTGGTGCTTCCTTTGTCGCACTGTTCATGCAACTGGGTGGAGGAATTTATACCAAAGCCGCAGATGTCGGAGCCGATCTCGTGGGAAAAGTCGAACAATCCATTCCAGAAGATGATCCCAGAAATCCAGCCACCATTGCCGATCTGGTCGGGGACATGGTGGGAGATTGTGTCGGTTCCAGTGCCGATGTCTTTGAATCGGTCGCTGCGGAAATTATTGGAGCCATGATTTTAGGATCCACCTTGGCGAATGAATCGGGCATGGATTCTTATCACGCGACCAAGTTCGTGTTCTTCCCTCTTGTCGTTCACGCCATGGATATTATTGTATCCAGTATTGGCATTGCGTTTGTGGGAAGAACTCGGGATACGGCAGATTCTGATCCCATGAAACAGCTGCAAAAGGGATACCGCATAGCATTGGCTCTTTCCGTCGCAGGATTCTTTCTCATTACCCACCAGCTACTCGGTACACCCGACAATCCATCTGCCTCCTTTCAATTCTTTCTATGCGGTGTTGTGGGCATGGCGTGTGCGTATATCATTGTGCTCAGCACTCAATACCAGACGGATTATGCCTACGGGCCCGTTCAATCCATTGCCGAGGCTTCCACAACTGGACATGGGACCAATATCATTGTGGGCGTGAGCGTCGGAATGAAAGCAACTCTGGTGCCCACCATTGCCGTGGCTATTGCTGTGTTGACAGCCTACCATCTTGGAGCATCCACCGGCATTGGAGATGGACGCAATGCTGGACTCTTTGGGACCGCCGTGGCTACCATGGGGATGTTGTCCAACGCGGTCTACATCCTTTCCATGAACAACTTTGGACCCATTGCCGACAATGCTGGAGGGTACGTACGACGAAAAAGAGGATGAGGAAGAATTTGAGGTTTATCTATTGGTGATTCCTGACACACATCTCGGATCTTGCTTGTCGTTCACGCAGTATCACAGAAATGTCAATGCAACCAGAGTCGGTTCGTGATGTCACGGATCGCCTGGATGCGGCAGGAAATGTCACCAAGGCCGTTACTAAGGGATATTCCATTGGAAGTGCTAGTATGGCATGTTTCCTATTGTTTGGAGCCTTCATGGACGAGTTCTCGGAATACAGTGGTCTCCCGTTTGAAGTCGTGGACATTGCCAAACCGGAAGTCTTGGTCGGAGGGTTGCTGGGAAGCATGATTATCTTCTACTTTACCGGACTTGCTATTGCTGCTGTTGGGCGAACAGCTCATGAAGTTGTGCTTGAAGTGCGTAGACAGTTCAAGGAAAACCCTGACATTATGACCTACAAAGCCAAGCCGGACTATGAACGGTGTGTGGCATTGGTGAC